AGATAACTAGCTAAACATTACAAAACTAGGAATTTTTATATAATAAATGTCCCAAGTCTTAAACAATGATCACAGTGGTTCTATTATACTACCTCCGTCCCAAAAAACTTTGTCATTTCAAAAAACTTGAACATTCATTTTGATTAGTATAATATTATGGAAATTATAAATTTTATACTTTTAACAAAGAACATTTTCATATAATTTTATATTACAAATAATTTTCAATAAAAAGACATAGTCGGTCAAAGTTTTGAAAATGGCAAAATTTTTTGGGGCGGAGGTAGTATTTTTTATTTGCATAAGTATGTAAATTATTTTAGACGTTTCTTCTTTTAAATCTCCAATTAAGTTTTTACATTATGTAAAGCTATATATTAACTTTGAAAATTAAAAGTTAAGGGGGACGAACACATATATATCTAATTAAATAAAGTATGAAAAGTTTTATGAAAATATCACGTATATAATATTTTAAAAGTTCATTGCCCCCCTAAATCCATCCCTGATGACACCTACTGCTACCGCAGTCCGCAGACGTACTCCGCACTCCCACAATCCGTAGTAAGAAAACAAAGCACATGAATCTATTATTATTAAATTTCCTTAATTGCAAATGAGTTTTTTTTTGAATTAATGTTAATTAATTAATTAATTACGAAAATAGGGTTGGGTTAAAAGTATTTACCAATATACTGCTGGGTTAACCGTGGTCGGGGGAAAGTCGCCCAACCGTTGGGCGACTTTCCATTAAGTAAAAACAGCGACCAGCCACAAAACAGAACACTGCGAACTAAACCCCAAATCCCCCAAGCAACAACTACGAAGGACGAAGGACGACCCAGCCATTTTCGACTCCGGCGAACTTCCATATCCGGCGACCCCACTCCGGCAAACCTCCATCTTCATCTTCAACACTCTTTCTTCTTTCTTGTAGGTAAATCAAACTCCATTTCATCTCATTTTTAACTTAGGGTTTTGAATGTTAAAATTTTGGAATTTTTAGATTATGAAATGTTGAAATTTGATTTGAATTTGATTGTAAATTTTAAAGTGTATTTTGACATTTGGGCATTTGGGTGGATTTGAATGTAGTTAAATTTGGGTATTGAAATGTAGACTTGAATGTAGATATCAAAATTTGGGTATTTTCATATTGAAATGTGAGTTGTTTGTGAATCTTGACTTTTGGATATATTTGAATTGTTATTAGAATATGGATTTCTCAAGATTCCCAATCGTGTGTCATTGTGGAGGGAACTATTATGAGGATGCTGGTCAAATATGCCATGAAGGTGGTACAACCATATTTGTCATGGTTTGTCGTGGTGCTTGCATGCTCGAGATCCTTCAAAAAATACATACAACCACAATGATTCATTCTAGCCGTTCTTTGCGTTTGAAAATGAAATTTCCCATGAACGGGGGAAAGTACATGCTTATGCCCCTCACTGATGAGCTAGCTATAACAAATATGTGGGCCATAGTTCAGATGGAGGACATGTCAATGCTTGAGATATACATTGAGGAATCCATATGTGACGCTTATCGTACTCCATCAACATCAAATGTTGTTGTATCTAGGCATTATGTCAATGCAGGTGTGAATGCTGGGAACTCCTCAAATGCTCCTGTAATGGACATGGTTATACATGAAGATGGTAGGTATTTGCACAACGGTGCATCATTTGTGGATGGGCAGGGAAGTGATGATGATGACGACAACATCAATGGTGAAGATATGACATAATCTGATGAAGATGATGGTGATACGGTCACGACAACTGCCCCGTCTACCCACTTTACTAGAATGTATGATCTCCCTGAAGGCTTTACTGATGCATGGCTGAGTGGATCAGGTGAGAAAAGGTTAACCCCCGAAGGTGAGTTTGAGGCCGGTCAACAGTTTGACAACAAAGAACAAGTCATCAATATGGTGAGCTTGTATTCTATCAAACAGAACCAATTTTTTCGGGTGATAGAGTCCGATAAACACAAATGGGTGGCACAATGCAAAAGGAAGAAAGAATGTAATTGCCCCTGGAGAATACGCGCCACAAAGAACAAAGGCAACTTTGACACCTTCACAATTGGGCGTTATCCTGGACCTCATTCTGCTACGTGTGCTGGGAACACCGACACTACCGATCACGTGACTTTGACTTCAGATTTCATCTGTAAAGATATGATTGACATTGTTCGCACAGATCCTTCCCTTAAAGTGCATACTATCATTGAGATGCTGAAGGAAAAGTATGGGTATACGGTAACATTAATTCGAAAAAAACCTCATTGCAAATTACTGAAATTAGTTTGGTAATTTTTTTTATTTGTGTATTTATTGATGTTATTAAGTATTTAAATAATTGATTAATTGAATTAGTTTGATGTTTAACCACTAAAATTTAAGAAATCAGTATAAGTTGTTAATTAGTAGGAATTACCGAATTAGGAAACTTGAGGTTCATAAATTATAATTATACGATTATATTCTTGAGATAATTACCCTAGGTATGACTAAATCTTCTTCACTTTCCGAATCTATGACCTAACTAGTTTTTCTACCAAAATAATACTAAAATTCATAATATATTTAATTCGACGTAAAATAATAAAATTATTAAATCTAAAAAAACTAAAAATCAATTCCTCAATGAGAAGATAATTAATTTTGTGATTATTACCGGATGTGCAGTAAAGTCGTGCATTAATATCGTGCAGTAACAACAATATAAAGTGCACTAATTTTAATTGGAAGAAATTAGTGTAAAATGCACATATTTTAAATAAGGTTATTTTCGTCATTCACCCTTTAAATATAAACGAGATTTCTTTGTGTTTTTGGATTTTCGGTCATTGAAAAGTCTAAAAACTAGTTAGTTCATAGATTGGGAAACTCGTTAAGTTTTAGTCATATCCTAGTAAATTTCCGAATCTATGACCTAACTAGTTTTTTTACTAAAATAATACTAAAATTCATAATATTTAATTAAATTTCATAATTAATAACTAATAAATAATTTAGGTGGACAAATATACCCTTTAATTTACCTCTATAAAATCCTAACCTCCTACCCATTTTCTACAACCTCCCAACACCCACCGGTACGAGCAGCCGCCCCAACATCCAGCCGCCCCATCATCCAGTCGTCGCCCGCCGTCCAGCGCCGCCGCCTTCCCCAGAAATCCGATCTGGGAGCATAGCCGCCTTCCACAGAAATCAGGGCCAGTTCTCCGCCATACCTGGGTCCCAAATCGCCACCTGACATCTATCTGTTGTCCGCCGTCCAGCAACCGCTCCTCATCACCCTCCAGCCGCCGCTCCTCATCGTCGTCGAGCCGCCGCTCCCAATCGCCGTCCCAGATTTGTGTGCCGCCGTCCCAGATCTGTGTGCCGTCGTCCCAGATCCATACGCCGCCGTCCCAAATCTGTGCGCACCATCCCCGACCTGTGCGCCGCCGTCCTAGGCAGTGCGCGCCGCCTCCCATATGGCCCCAACTTCTGTCCCGATGCGTACGTGCAGACGCCGCCACCCAACCATGCAGCTCCGTGTATTTATAAGTTAATATGGAAATTTATTGGAAAATAAAACTCAAGTATTAATTTGCATGGTCCTAAACTATTTATAAGTTAATACAGTGTTATAGAAATATTTATATGTAATTGTTATTAGGTGACAACACTAGTACCCATTTAAAAAATGAGGTACCGTACCTACCATTCACTTGATTGTTCCAAATCATTATATCATTTTTAATTTAGATTTAAATAATTCAACTGCAATATTCTGATTGATCCATGTGGACGAATGTATGATACCTTATGGGTACCATAAAATCTACCTTGTTATTATTATACATCATGAGCACTATTTTGTACACGTGCGATCGTGGTCTCATAATTATAATACTCCCTCCGTCCCATTGGACTTTGCCAACTTTCCTTTTTTGGTTGTCCCAAAAAAGTTTGTCACTTTTCTATTAAAGCAACTACTTTGTGATTCTGCTCATTTCTCTCTTCTCTGCACAAACCTCTACCACACAGTTTTTACTTATTTCTCACCAACTTTTAACTTGACAAAGTTTACCGAGATGGAGGTAGTAGTATTTGTGAAACAAATTTTAAGTATTTACTTAAAATTGATCGCAAATAATAATATGTGAGAATATTGGGTACAATCTCTAAATATGAATCCTCTGATTCTTCACTTGCAATTTGGCATAAATATAATTAAAGAATTTAATTCAAAATTAAATCTTTAATTCTTCAAATATTCGAATGTTTGTCAGATCTTCAAATCTTCAAACCTTCGTTCTTCGAATCTTCAAACATTCAAAGTTTTGTTCTTTGAATCTCCGAATCTTCAAATATTCTTAATTTAAGAATTCAGCTTGAAGGGCCTCCGGTTTTCAAGTGGCTTGATCTTCAACAAAAAGGTCGTTTTGTGGCTTGATCTTCTGTTTAAGAGCCTCCCGGGATATGTGGCTTGATCTTCAATTGAATCATGACTCAATCTTCATATGAATATCTTCAAATCTTCAAAGATTCGTTCTTCAGATCTTCAAACGTTCTTCAGCTTTTGGATTTATTTTATCAAGAATCGATGAAATCACAAAGGATTATTCGTATATTCTTAATAAAATTCGTGGCTTTGTCTACTCCTCTTCTTCGGAATCGTTCAGAGCCTTTTGGGAGTTCTTCAGAGCTATTATGCAGCGTTTCTTCGTATGAAAATTCTCTCCCCTTTCCTCTCAAGTGAGACCCCTATTTATAGGTGTGGAGGGAATGAAAATATGCTTTAGGGTTTTGGAAATTCGTCCATATTCCTTGGGCCTCAAATAAAATGGGTTTTGGGCTCTATTTGCTTGCAATTTAATGGCTAGAAAAATCAGCACTTATATAATGTATCTGGACAGCCTTTTTAACAAGGTTCGCAGCCATTTCTCATGCATTTGGATAGATTTCTTGACTGGATTCACTGCTCTCTTTATCAATTGGATCGTGTCTCTTATTCATTGGGCTACTATTTAATAATGGGCTCAAAATGGAGAAATTAATAGGACCGGTCCATTATTTTAAACATTTAATTTATAATTAAATCAATTGGGTATTTTTTTAATGACCCAAATTAGTTCAATTATTAAATTTTATCTGAGTGGGTTCATATTAATATTTTTATAAGGTCCAACAACCATCACGAGCAGTCCGATAGAATTTAATTTTGCCCAATAACTTTACATGTCTGCAAATGCCCCCTCAAGACTTGCTTGGACTTTTTCGTTCAGAAAAGGACGGGCCTGTCTCGATAGTTACAAATTCAAAATTTTCTTTCTTTCTTTCAAAAGCTCTCAACTCTTCTGGGTCCCAACAAGCCCAAAAATTCTTTGCATAAGGCTGATAGTATCACATCGTAGATTTAATACGGCCCATTATTTGATCCGTCCATCTCAAATGAAGCAATTGGAGGTTCCATGTGCATTACAAATTAACCAGCAAAACAAAGGTGGTGTTGAAGTGGGATTCCAACTTCAGGTGTCCATATTAGATTCATATACGACAAGCCTCCCTAGTAGAACGTGAGTTCTACTTAAACTCTAAAAACCTTGAGCCCATACTTGAAACTCATCAATTGCATACGAACTAAAGCCAAAGCACCGTAGAGGTAGAGTTGAAGGCACTGTAATTTTTCTTCCTTGTTCATCTTTTCCATCCCTTCATCTTTTTTTTTTCTTTTTTTTTTTGCAGGGACAACTCAATCGATTAGCAGATAATATGTGAAGACAAGAAGCTATCAAATTAAAGTTGTCTTGATATGCAGCTTATTGGAGTAGCCGAGTAGCAGCTGCCTTGCAGACCCGGAAGACTGACCAATTCTGCTCCGTCGCCGGTTTCTATCTTGGTATTTTTTCAGAAGAAGGTTGAAGGCTGCTGCCATTAATTTAAACGTTGGAAGAGCCGCCGCCCAAATTTGACGGAGGGGGACTGAAGCAGGTCGCAAGTTGGAGGTCGTGCTGCTATTTTCTGGAATTTGTGGTTGTTCGATGATCCAAACCCATCGACATCGCTGTCTCTTTCGCAGGTTGAGGTGAAGGTCTGACCGCCGTTGCTGTTTCGTCACCGAGACTTGAGGTGAAGCCGCCGGAGATCAGTGATGATATGTCGCCATTCGCTGGGGGAAAGCTCGTGCTGGATCAATTTGACGCCTCTGTTGCAGCTTTCGCGAGAAGAAGGAAATCGCTCGATGTTTCACGCGATGCGTGTGCGAAGAAGATGACGGGAGGGTGAGCCCAATCGATGAGTTGTTGCCGTGCTTGTTTGAGGTTCGAGGAAGATGACCGGAGAAGCCCTGCACTCTGGAGATTTCTATCGCTACTGCGGTTAATGTCCTTGGCTCATCTGCGAACAAGATAACAGCATACGGATACTTCTAAAAGACTTTGGCTATGGGCCTTATTTAATGATTATTGGGCTTAATGACTATTAAGCCTGTTCCGGAATCTGTTAGACTTGGCTTTCATCATCGAGTAGAGCTATTAATATAAAGGAGATCCGATTTCCTGCTGTTTTAAGTGATTTGTTCATGGCGCCATTTATTGAAGAGGATGGAGCTAGGCCTATTGCTGGTTTTCAATGCTTCTTGGGGCCCTTGGTTGTGCTAGTACCATTGATCTAAAGCATTAGGCCGATTGCCGATCATCGGTGTTGCTTGAGGCCCTTCGTTTGGCTAATGGCACCGATATAAAGAATTAGGCCGATTGTCGGTCGTCGGTGTCGCTTGGGGCCCTTCGTTGGGTTAGTGGCACCGATCTAAAGAATTAGTCTGATTGCCGGTCATCGGTGTCGCTTGGGGCCTTTCGTTAGGCTAGTGGCACCGATCTAAAGAATTAGGCCGATTGTCGGTCATCGGTGTCGCTTGGGGCCCTTCGTTGGGTTAGTCGCACCGATCTAAAGAATTAGTCCGATTGCCGGTCATCGGTGTCGTTTGGGGCCTTTCGTTGGGCTAGTGGCACCGATCTTAAGAATTAGGCCGATTGCCGGTCATCGGTGTCGCTTGGGGCCCTTCGTTGGGCTAGTGGCACCGATCTAAAGAATTAGGCCGATGAAGTCATCGGTGAATACAAAGCTCTGCTGATGCCATTTATGAAGGGCGGCCATTTTGCTGTTTATGAAGGCTGGCCATTTAGCTAGTTTGAATGACGACCACTTCAACGGTTTGAAGGTTAGAGCGGCGCTGATAGAAGATGATGTTTGAAGCTCAACTCAATCAATTTCAGGCGAGGCGCAGACTTGAGAACTCTCACATCTTGGTATGACTTTGTTTTTCGTAATCCCTTTGGCTAAAAACTTAATTGGGTTTTGTTTTGTTATAACTGAACTCAAAAATGAAACTTTTGAGCTGCCTACGTACTCCTATGAAGGAGATCAAGTCAAACGTAGTTCATATGTACCACTTGAATTGGTAATTTGAAGGGACCGTACACAGTTTTAACTCGTGCGGGCCAGGAGCTTGGCGTACACGTTTTAAACTCTCATGGGCCAAGAGCCGTACACATTTTAAACTCTCGTGGGCCAAGAGCTTGCCATACACATTTTAAACTCTCGTGGGCCAAGAGTATCTATGATTATGCTCACCCATAGACAAAGTAAGATGTTTTAGCAGTTTAGCCACTTACAACATCATTGATGGTTTAGGCATTCAACATTTTGTTTGGTCATATGCATACCCTGACATGAAGGGTATTGTATCCTCCAAGTTCATAATGCAGGAGTTCACATATTGGTCTTCATATTGACCACGAGTGTGCACAATGGTCACTGGTTTGACTTTAAGTGCATTTCCATAGGTTACTTTTACATCGGTTTCTCGCTTCATACGAGATGGGATAAAGCTTCTATACTCATCAAGACTTTTCTTTTCGAGAGGAACTTTGGCAAATTTATTGCGTTCATGTTTCAATCCTAATCTTTCATGAACAGACTTTCTTTCAAAGTTTTGTCCCATGCACGGGTCTTCAATGTGCTTTACCATCATTGGGCTCGATCCAAGCCGTTCTTGTAAAGTCTTCTTCATAACTTTCTTTGGCTTGATACCCAATCTATCAAAGATGGCGGGCCTTGATCTTTCCCGCCCAATCCGATCAAAGATAGAATACTTCGGTTTAGAGGTCACTTCATCTTCTTCATCCGCACTAATATGATGTATTGCGGCTCTATTTATGAGGATCTTTATAGGTTTAGGTTGAAGATAACCCAATCCAATGTGGCCTTGTAAGTTGTTTTGCTTCGGTGTTCCTTTTCCACCAGCTTCTGGAATGAGCTTCCCCAACTTTTGTTCATTAGGATCATAGCCAGCTTCAGCAATGATTTTATATGCATTTGGCTCAAATCCTTCTTTCGTACGTGTGTGAGGAAGCTTAGCATCACATTTCTTTTCAGCTTCCTCATTAAGAGCCTTTTGAGGAGGTTTTGATATCTCGATCTGTGCAAGAGGAAACATGAGCCCCTCCACACCTTCAACGAGCTTTTCTTTCAATTTGGGCTCAGTCAAAGGGCGATAAACATCATTCCCTTTAGCATCGTTATCTTTAAACACTTTTGTCTTTAAGTAAAATTTCGCATCTGCAAAGTAGGATTCGGCCTCAGTAAATGGAGTCTCATCACCGATCACTTTCTTCACAATGCCATTTTTTTCATATATAAAGCATTGGTGCCATGTTAAAGGAATTACACCGTTTTCATGGATCCACGGGCGACCTAAAAGGAGATTATATGAAGATTTGGCATCAATGACATGGCATAGAGTGCTTGCCTTAAGCCCGCCAATGACCAAATCAAGTTGTATCATTCCAATTGCCTTTTGCCATTCTTGATTGAAGCCTTGAATCATCAAGTGAGTTTGGGAGAGTTCATCAATTGATATTCCGAGGTCTTTCATAGCCCGAACTATCAAGAAATTAACAGCGGACCCTTGGTCAATCATGATTCTTTTAAACCTTTGGCCACAAGTACATCCCTCAACAAAGAGCGAGCGATTATGAGGGGTGGCGCCTAACATCAGGTCTCCATATTTAAAGAGAGTATCAGTGACATAAGTTGTAGATTTGTATGTTTCTACTTCTTTTTGCTCACCCAAAGCTGGTGATGAACATATGCTTGAACTCTCAACATCCTTCTCATGGGCGCTAAGGCAAGAACTCGAAATTTGAATCATTTTGTTCTTGAAATCCTTTGGCATATAATCATTGAGAGTAATCGGCCTTCGGGCAGCCTTGGCTCGAACATGATCCTTCCTTTGCTTACTTTTCATCAACTCATTTATCGGTTGTTGCATGACCCATTTCTTCACCACCTTCTTCGGTTGTGGTTTAGGTTTGTGGTTCTTCCTTTGTTTCTTTCGAGTCAACAAGATCCATGGTCTTCCTTTGTCATCAACATCCTCAAGTGCCATTCTTTTAGTGAGAGGAGGACATCCTTTCATTCCCTTGAGAGTAAATGGGAGCTCATGTTTGTGAGAATTTATGTCGTCGTTGACCATGAGCGGAGCAAACCTACCAAAAGTGATGGCAATTTGGTTTGTGCTTGCAGCAGAATCGGCGAGCTCAATCTTTCCTTGACGAGCTAGGGTCATAATTTTATCTTTCAGCACCCAACACTTTTCAGTGGGGTGACTTAAAAGTCGATTGTACTTGCAGTAATTGGGGTCATCTATCTTTGTAGCTTCCTCGGGTCGTTTGGACTCGGGCAAATCAATAAGCTTCAATCTCATCAGTTCCTCAAACATGGGAGGAACGTCAGAGTCTAAGAAGGGGTATTTCTTTTCTAGCATCTCTTCTAGAAATGGTTTAACATGTTTCGACGCCTCCAAGTCGACCCTAGGAACTTGTTTTGAATTTTGAGAGAAGATCTTAATAGGTGCAACCTTCACGACCATTGTTTCTTTATTTCCAATATTAGAAAAGGGTTTGCCCACATTCTTGGTATCTTGTTTTTCAACATCATTGTTTATGGGATACATACCCATGGCTTTCTTTCCACTACTTGCAATGCTTAACTCCATGTTACGAGCTTTGCTTGCTAGCTCGTCGAAAGTGTTTGGATTGACTCCTTTGAGAATGTAGCACAATTCCCAATGCATTCCTTCAATGCACATATCGACAGCGGAACTTGTAGAGATTCGATCTTTGCAGCTTAGAGCAAGATCCCTCCAACGCTCTATGTAAGGTATCACAGGCTCATCTTTCCGTTGGCGAGTAGTTTTCAACTCAAGCAAGCTCACCACCCTCCTCGTGCTGTAGAAACGGTTTAAGAACTCACGTTCCATATCCTGCCAGTTGTCAATGGAACCGGGTTCTAGGTCAGTATACCAGTCAAATGCATTTGCTTTAAGGGAGCGCACGAACTGCTTGACGAGGTGATCCCTACTTGTTCCCGCATTGTTGCAAGTCTCCACAAAATGGGCAACATATTGTCTTGGATTTCCTTTCCCATCAAACTGGACGAACTTCGGCGGCTGGTAACCAATGGGCATTTTCAGATCCTCGATTCTCTGAGTGTATGGCTTAACATAGGAGTAAGTAGATTGACTTCCTTCTATTTTCCCCTTTATGGTTCCCATGATGAAGTCTTTGAGTTGATCAATTGGGATCATGCCCCCAGAGGTTGAGATGTTCTTTCCCGAACCCTCTTGGTGAAAATCATTATCTTCATGCACTTCGGGATCTTTCTCATGGGTATGACTTGACTCGCCTTTCAAACTTTCCACTTTGTTGTTCAGATCATTCAACTTCTGATCTTGGGCTTGCATGAACATGCTCATTCCCTCGATGACCTTAGTTAAATGGGCGATTTGTTCTTCCATAGATGTCGTGCTTGTCATCATAGTGGGCATCACAGTGTAGACATTTGACCACTGCGGAGTAGTTCTTCGTGGAGAGGTTGACGGGGAAGTAGAGTCTGACCCAGATGATGAGCTTTCACCACTACTTGTCCATTTTGGGGAAGTAACTTCACGTATGGGTGAAGAAAGCTTCCGGACCATCTCTTGCGCAATTTGAAATCTATCCATCGCACCGGGAGTAGTTCCCGAAGATGACTGTGCAGTCATGATTCTTGAACGGTTCCTAGTGATAGGGCCTTGCATATTTTGATTCGAGCTTGATGATGCTTTAGAATTTAGAGTGAACACGGGATTGTTTGATGCCATGGGTTCGTTTTCAAAAGTGAAGAGATGAGAGGTAGAGATATCCCACAAGGCGTGCCAAAAATTTGTGAAACAATTTTCAAGTATTTACTTAAAATTGATCGCAAATAATAATATGTGAGAATATTGGGTACAATCTCTAAATATGAATCCTCTGATTCTTCACTTGCAATTTGGCATAAATATGATTAAAGAATTTAATTCAAAATTAAATCTTTAATTCTTCAAATATTCCAATGTTTGTCAGATCTTCAAATCTTCGAACCTTCATTCTTCGAATCTTCAAACCTTTAAAGTTTTGTTCTTTGAATCTTCGAATCTTCGTTCTTTGAATCTTCAAATATTCTTGATTTAAGAATTCAGCTTGAAGGGCCTCCGGTTTTCAAGTGGCTTGATCTTCAACAAAAGGGCCGTTTTGTGGCTTGATCTTCTGTTTAAGAGCCTCCGGGATATGTGGCTTGATCTTCAATTGAATCTTGACTCAATCTTCATATGAATATCTTCAAATCTTCAAAGATTCGTTCTTCAGATCTTCGAACGTTCTTCAACTTTTGGATTTATTTTATCAAGAATCGATGAAATGACAAAGGATTATTCGTATATTCTTAATAAAATTCGTGGCTTTGTCTACTCCTCTTCTTCGGAATCGTTCAGAGCATTTCGGGAGTTCTTCAGAGCTATTCTGCAGCGTTTCTTCGTCTGAAAATTCTCTCCCCTTTCCTCTCAACTGAGACCCCTATTTATAGGTGTGGAGGGGATGAAAATATGCTTTAGGGATTTGGAAATTCGTCCATATTCCTTGGGCCTCAAATAAAATGGGTTTTGGTCTCTATTTACTTGCAATTTAATGGCTAAAAAAATCAGCACTTATATAATGTATCTGAACAACCTTTTTAACAAGGTTCACAGCCATTTCTCATGCATTTGGATAGATTTCTTGACTGGATTCACTGCTCTCTTTATCAATTGGATCATGTCTCTTATTCATTGGGCTACTATTTAATAATGGGTTCAAAATGGAGAAATTAATAGGACCGGTCCATTATTTTAAAGATTTAATTTATACTTAAATCAATTGGGTATTTTTTTAATGACCCAAATTAATTCAATTATTAAATTTTATCTGAGTGGGTCCATATTAATATTTTTATAAGGTCCAACAACCATCACGGGCAGCCCAATAGAATTTAAATTTGCCCAATAACTTTACATGTCTACAGTATTATTCAATTACATTTTGTTTTCTTAATTTATTTGAAAATATTAAATGTTTTATTTTAATAGATGCTACTTTGCAGCAGGACACGTTTGATCGAAACATTTTACATGAATTCTTTTAATAAAAGAATGACTTGTGAATTCCTTTGTTTATTAGACATGTCCTTTAAATTGGCCGCACATTTTCATTTTATTGAAAGCATTAGAGCCGTTCAACGAGAGAGTATTTTCGGTTGGTTTGTTAACTGCCCATTTCAAAGAGTTACATGTTCTTTATAAATAGAAGGATCTTGTTGAATTGAGGATATACGGCAAAAACACTTATTTGGTGCTATTTTATCGGTAACTAAAATACACCACACACATTCTTTTTATCCCAAAAGTTTTAT